ATCTATCTATCTATCTATCTATCTATCTATCTATCTATCTATCTATTATTTCAAACTAACCCAATCCAATGCATCTGATTTGTTTCAATTTCACGTACCAACAGATATGATCATCTTCCTGCACATCGGACTAGTTAGCTAAATGTTTGCTGCGTTTTATGCTTCCTCCGAGAAACTTTATACTTTATTCCAAACTCAAAGACCACAAGTTGTCTCGCGGAGAAAAACAAACAGAAGTGTGAAATTCCATGTTGCATGCGGACAGTTTCCACGGATCGCCAAGGGCTGTCGTAGAACTCGAAATGCGATTAAACAGCTCAGTGGACTTTTTCAAAGGTACCCGGAACAATACGTCGACACCGAGCAAATGGATGGGGACGTTCTCAGAAACGATGAGATTCAACGTGATGTGCATGAACGCCTCCCCCAGACCGAGCAATCTTCAGTTCCTTCAAAGAACTGAGCTCACTGGAAACCGAAGATGGCCGGCGGATTAGACGGATCCGCTAACCTATGCTGTTGACGAATATACAGTAACACCAACTCCCATGTCGTCGGATTCGTTGGTGGGTGTCTTAGCAAGATAGATTTGTTTGGAACAGCAGCATTGATCACCACGATTTTGCTGCTATAATTTTCCGTACAACATCCCTTTATTTGTGCCGCTTCAACGTCATCTGGTGCTCGCTGAGCGTTCCACCTTGGATGCAGCACTTGATTGTCTAATTCATAAAACATGGACTGATGCTTGTTTCATCCATTTTACTTGTGGTCAGAAACTGAAATGGTACTGTCCAATTCGCGGTTATGAAGCCCAGAAACTAGACTGATATCCTCGGTCGGATTTCAAAACATATCCAGGCTTCATTCCAGACACGGACAAAAATGAACGGACACGAATAGTCCGTTCACATATCTCACATGAAAGAGGGATTCTATTTACATGTGCACAGTGGCCTATCACATGATCAGTGATTAGTAGTGTTGTTGTTGAGATTCTTTCACTAATTGAACTGTTTCCAGTTTCAGTTTGTACAACCACTATTCATGCACTATCGTGTACCGGTTTTGGTTGCTGTCCTTTGGCTGCCCATTCGGATGAACATTAGAAGAAAGACAGGAAAGCGTGAAAGTAGGATCAAAGAGAAAATTTCGAATTTCAGTGTATTAGTGTGGCA